ATTATTGAACATATACTTAAGGGGGTCCTCTTTTTTTTTTTTTAAGATTTGTTATTTATTTATTCATTTTAATTTGACCAGAGAGAGACAGAGAGAGAGAGAGGAAAGTGAGAAAGCAAGCCACCAGGTTCAGAACTTGAACCATGGTCAGCCATGTGGGAGTGTCCAGCACCTTAACCACCATGCCACCTGCTGGTCCCAAGGGTGTCCTCTTAAACGTTACTTGTAAGAGTGAAAATTTTGATACAACACGGGTACATACTTAGGTATTATTATCCAAATTGTGACACTTCATAGAAAACCATGCAATCTCAAAGAATACTTCAGCAATGACAAATAATCACAATTAAATAGTAAAGTACCATACAAGAGTCTACATGCACTTTATCATCTCAATTTTGTACACATGTATGTACAAATAAGTAAACACACATACAAATGTAGTAATCGAAAGAATACTGGGGAAGAATAATGCCAGAAAAACGTTTCTGAATTCTTTTCCATTTTACCATGAATGTCCAGTTTCTATAAGTAGAAAGGGAAATATCGTTTTAAAAGTTGTAATAGTAGAACCAAGATTGGTATTGATGGCAATAAATCAGCAAAGCAGAAAATTAAATGATGTAGAGGAAACGGTGAGAAATTCCTACAGAGCACAGAGGAGAAAATAACCAAAAAAAGGAAAATATCTAAAGAAAAGGGAGGCAGCATGGAAGAGGCGCCCAATCTGGGGAACACCGCGACACCTGACATGCAGAGTAGAAATGGCCCACAGTAGAAGAGCGAGAGTAGAAGACAAAACTCCCAAGATGGAGAGTGAGAGGAGTCTCATAAGATTTAGCAAAGGTTAGCGGGGTCAAATGAATGGAGCACATTAAAAAGTAGATCTTGTATGAATTATACGAAAAGGTCCCTATGTGAGCCTGGGCCAGGGTCAGATTAAACCCTTGCTCAGAACTCAAAACTGCACCCCCTGCTGGCAGCGGCTCTTGCTGCTGCTTCCTCTGTGGACATATTCAGTTCTTGTTTTGTTTTGTTTTGGAGAGGTTTTTGCTATAGGGCGCGTGTACTCACTAGAAAGACACAGAGACACAGAGAGACAGAAAGAGAGAAATCACCAACACCAACACCACCACCATGGCCACACCGCAATCCCTACTCCTCCATTCTCCTCTCGGGATCTTGGGCACGCACGCACACTCGTCCAGCATGAGTTTAAGCTACCAGGTCTGGGACGCGAACTGCCGTCAATTACATGGGAGTCCAGCGACATAGCCATTACGCTAAGCTCTTCTTTTTTAGAGCAGGAGAGCAGTGGTCTCCCCTGGGAAGGCAGGGCCAATGTGCCACTGAATAAGGGAAAGTCTCCTGCCTTCACCCAGGGGCCAACTGGGCGTGCATAGCATGCCCCTCCCCAAGCAGCAGAGCACCTTTGATGTCCTGGGTTTGTTGTGATCTTGGCCAAGAAGTCATAAGCTCTGACAGGAGGGAAACTGTTCTGAGAACTGGAGAAACTTGCACTTGCTAAGTACAATTCAGAGCATCATATTTTAATTTAATTTAATTTAATTCAATCAATTAATTAATTTATTTTTAAGAGAGATTTTGGCTATCAGGTGCATGTGCTCACCAGAGAGGCAGAGAGGAACAGAGAGTCAGAAAGCAAGAGATCACCCCCTGAGAGGATAGCCAAACCATAATCCCTCCTCCTCCATTCTCCTCTCAGGATTTTGAGCACACACACACATGCACCCAGCATGAGTTTGAAGCCGCCAGGTCTGGGACTCGAACTGTGGTCGGCCATGTGGGAGTCCAGTGACATAACGTAACCATTATGCCATCTGCTGGTCCCTTTACTTCATTTTATTTTTAATTGCCAGAGGGCGTGTATGCTCACCAGAGGAAGAAAGAGAGAAGGGGAGAGGAAGAAAGCCCCCCAGTGGGCATGGTCACTCTGCACTGTCTTCTCCTCCATGTCTCTATCCCATCAGGATTTGGAGCATGCACGCATATGCCCCTGCTGTGTTTTTCATGCTGTTGGGACTGGGATTCAAACTGAAGTTGGCCATGTGGGATCCTGCCTCCACCAGGCTCAGGGCCACACCCATAGTATCATTTTTGAAGCTTTGCTTATAGCATAGCTAAGGTTTCATTTTCATCAGTCCTCCACTCAGAGTCACGGATCCGTGAAGCAAAGGACACAGGGAATGAGCACACGGGAGAATGCTTCTGCCGCTGGCCATGGGGCCTGCCAGTCACAGAGATGTCAGACACTGACATGACATGTACCTGGTCAGGGATCTCTGCACCAGAATAACCTGCCTCAGGTGAATTCAGGTTCTTGCTCCCCAGATCTGTTGAAGTGGAATGGCTAATGATGAAATCTAGGAAACCACGTTGGACATGGCAGGCAGGATAACGCACCCTTGCCCTCAAAGGTTCCAGGTCTTCGTCCCCAGAAACTGCGATGATTTCCTTTACAGGGGAAAAGTGCTAGTACTGGAGTGGTTCAATTGGAAGCCTTGACCTACAGAGACGATGCTGGAATATCTGGTGGAATCACTTGGGTTCTTAGAAGCAGAGAGCCACTTTCTCATCTGTAGTCAGAGATGTGACCGTGAAGAGCAGGTCAGAGAGATGGATCAGAGCTGGCTTTGGAGACAGAGAGGGCCCTTGGCCAAGCGATTCCAGAAGCCTCTCAACTCTAGAGGAGGCAAGGAAACAGATTCTTCCCTAGAATCCCAAGGTATAAAGCTTGATTTTAGCCCCGCCCCCAATAAGACACAGGTCAGATTTGAGACCCACAAAACTGTAAGGTAACAAATTTGTATTGTTTGAAGCCACTAACATTTGTTAAAGTAGCAATAGAAAACAAATGCACAGGAGTTTAAAATCCATGGTCTTGGGGCCAGAAGGTGGCATGATGGTTGGGGCGCTGGACACCCACATGGCTGACCATGGTTCAAGTCCCAGACCAAGCAACTTGAGGATCACGCTGGGTATGTGTGTGCATGCCCAAAATCAGTGGAGGAGAAGGGATTGTGGCATGGCTCTCCCTCTGGGGAGTGACTTCTCACTTTTTCTCTCTCTGTCTCTGGTGAGCACACATGCCCTATGGCAAAAACCTTTTTTAAAAAAAAAAAAACTTTTAAAAAAACAGAAACAAAAACCTTGGCCTCGTTGAGTAGTCTCAGAACTGAAACTGGGAAACGTGATGCCTAGTTTAATTCAACTCCATAAGCCAGGTGACCTCATGAAAGGCACACCCCAATTTGTGCCTTAGTGTTATCAGTTTAAGGGGCAGGACAAAAAATATCAGCCTTTGTGAAAAGAAATCCCCTTTCTTTCCAAGCTAACAGTGCTTGTCCAATGTTACTATAATGGACTTGATATGAAAAAGGAATGTGAAGGAGGAATGGGAATAATACAGCTAATCTTTTGTGCTGGGAAATCTTGGGGGAAAAAATAATCAAGTCTAAATCGTCCCAGTGGCATTTGTCCTGCAAGTGCAGTAAAATAGAAATTCCACTCTGGCATCTGCTTTGTTCCCCATGTCAGCTCTACGGTAAATAGTCGTCTCAACACATACAATGGGTCTTTGCCAAGTGTGTGGAAAATGCCTATTATGATTCAACTGTGCATGAATTAAAACTATCGTGCGCCACATAAACTCATTGTCTAATTGTTCCTGAAACTTCGTGAAGTCCCTGTATACGTGCAATAAAGACAGCAGATAAAGTGAAGAAGCAGCAGAAGCAGCAGCACCTTCAACCAACTACTGGCTCACGACAAGTGGTGTGTACAGCCTGGGGTGTGCATTATAGCTGTCGCTCCGGTGCTGAGGACAGGCCCATGTGGAGGGGAAGACCATAGGCTCTGAGTCACACTGAGGTGGGTCCATAATTTACCAGCTAGAGGCCAGTGGGCACTAGTTTCCTCCCCTTAAAATAGGGGAATTAACGTGCTCTCCATGGACAGTGCCATTGAGGGGATTAACAGAGCTGATGCCTAGAGCGTGCTCAGGTACGGTGCCCGGCACCGGGAAACCAGCACACGTGCTAGTTGTTTTGATTTCCACGCACCTGCCATGTGCTAGCCACACTTGTATCCATCATAGCTAGGGATCCGGGCAAAGCAAGACCCAGCCAGATCCAGACCCTGCCAACTCCAAGACCGAGTTTTCCTGAGAGCTCAACTTGGTTTATTTTCCAAAAGAAATACAGGGGCACAGTGAGAAATATGCACACCTCTTCTTTTTCACTGTAGCTGTGGCCCTGGTGGAACCCAGAAATTCCAAGATACCCAGCCATTTCCCCTCACCCCGTACCTGGATCACGCCTCCGCCTTCTCCAGCCTTCCCAGCCAGAAACACTTCCGGCAGCCCCAACATCTGGCCGAGCCAATCCATCATTACGGTCTCCAGCTCTGTGCAGGCGGGGCTCGCAGCCTGCCGTGGAGGGAGGGAGGCCGGGGTTAGCCTAGCCCTGGTGGCTTGTGATAGGGGTCGAAGAAGATCACTTTTATTTTATCAATTTAACTAAAGGCTTTATAGTTCTCACAAGGTTCGCGCTGGGTGGAAATGACTTTGATGGCGTACTGTCACATTGCAGAGTCTGAGACCACTAGCAGCAGCCCCAGGAAGGGCAGACAGTGGGGATCTGTGGTCACCGCAGTGCGCACTCGCAGCTGGGACCCAGCATGGAGGCCTCACACAGGGCGCTGCCCCTCCCTCGCTCCGACCCCACATCTGCCACAGGAAGCGATGTGCTAACTACGTGCAAGCTCTGGGTGATTCTCTGGGCCCTTCCATGCCACGGAGACCCTGCTGGCCTGTCTCCACCACCAACTGAGGTCTCAGAAGTGAGTGGTGACCTGTCCCTGGAGACATCACTAGGGGGAAGCTGCAGGGTTCAGCTTTCTTTCCACTGACCCCAGATTAGAATCGTATGCAATTCAAATATCTGAACATATTACAAACATGTATTCCTTGACCCGGACTCAACTGGGAAAACAGCAGGGAAGGAAGGCACCGCCGTAATAAAAATTACACTGCTGTGCCTGCCACGCGACATGGTGTGCTTGCTCATTTTCCCATTTGCTTGTTTACTGAAGGATCCAGAAAGGCCCACGGGTGGCCCCCTCCCCAAATGAATGGAGTGAGCAGAGTCGGATTGAGAAAGCGGGCACGGGCAGCTTCTGCCCTGTGGGAGCCCTGGGACAAGCTGTTGATCTTGCCTTTTGAGCTCCTGGTGGCCTCGCCTTATGGGCTGTCCCCTTTCACTGCATATACGAGGTGGCCGGTTGGCCTGGGGCCCCACCTACACAACCTGGGCCTCCACCTTCACATGGGCACCTGTGAGAGGGCCCGTTTGGTGCTCGGTGTGCTCTCACGCCCAGACATGCACACGGCCATCAGAAGCATTGCTGGTTGGACTGTCTCTCTTCAGGTCAGCTTTGTCCAGAGGGGCTCCTCCCCATCTGGGCTAAGCCTAACTCCATCCAGGGCCAGGATGCTACTCTTCCTGTTAGCAGCCTCGGGTGGCAGACAGTGCACCTCAGGGACAGCGTGGCATTTCTTCCAAGACCCAGGAGAAAGCAGACTGTTCCAGAAAACAATACATCTGGAGGTGGATGCCAAGTCACCCCTTAGGGACAGAATGACTTTGAACCTGCAGAGCTAAATGAATCCACTACCTCTGATGAGGGAAATGTCCTTCGGAAGAGGGTGTGCCCGGCCCAGGCTGCACTGGTCATGCCATACCAGCTCTGCCCAGGGAAAAGGGTGGCCAGGGCGTCCAGCAGAGGCACAGTTCAGATCTGGGGATCTGGGAGGATCACTTCCCCCTCCCCATCTGGTGGGTGACTCCTGACACCCCAGCCTGAACAACAGGAAGCATCAGGCACGTGAAGCAGAGTAGGGTCTATGGGCCCCACTGCTGGGCACTGCAGATCCAGGCGCCACACCTCCTGGATGTAGCTCAGGGCCTCGTGCTGCGTGGGTCATCACCCACAAGTCCACCCAGCTTCACAGCACAGACGAGACGGGCACTGTGCACCTACAAGGCCAGGACAGACCCCGCCTCTGAAGAACTCCCCACGGTGTGGTCAGCATTGGGTGCCTGGCGGTCGGTGGGCAGCTCTACTTCTGAGCTCTGGGCATTTGGGAGGAAGGAACTTTTCTATAGGACTATGCATGGAGAGAGAGCCATGGGAACTGCTGGCCCAGCCACCCTTCTGAGTCGGGCCCTTTATAGACCTTTTTACCCTCAGAGCAGGGCCGGTGGCATTGGCAGGAGCTGAGCCCATGCCCAGAGTCTCCTGCTCTGTGCAACTCGGCACCTCTGTTGGGCTTCGGAGGGCATATAGAAATCCTCTGGTCTGAGTGAGTGAAATGCTGATTCTCCGGCCTTGGACTGTGATTTTAACTCACACCCAGTTCTTCTAACACATCGCTGTATGGAATTAACTTTGGGTCATCGAGGCCTTTCCAGAAAAGACGCCCTTATATTTCCCACCATCCTGAATCTCGCTCCCGTAGAGCATCCTCCCTAGGGCTGACTCCTTCTCCTCTCCCTGCCAGAGTGCCCTGTGCCCACAGGTGGCACAGGTGTTGCTCATGTCCTAAAGGAAGTGCCACTCCCCACAGGGGCCACCACTGTGGGGCCCTGCAGACTTACCCAGGAGAAGCCGATGCAACCGATGGCCCCGCACAGCATGTCGGCCAGCATGGCGGGGTAGGAGCTGGCCGTGGGGAAGTAGGCGAAGAAGTAGGGGCTGTGCCAGTGGGTCACCTGCATGGGAGGACGGGACAGTCACTTGGGGGCAAGCAATGCCAGCTTGTGTGAGAACAAAGGACCCGGTCCCTCCCACTCCCAGCTGACAGGTGGGTCCAGACCTCAGCTTAGTGACGTTTCCCATAATTCAGTGAGCACAGCAGTATTTCATAGCGTCCGCCTATCATCCACTGTCCCTTTGCCACGCGACCCCCTTTCCTTTTACTAGGACCTTATTTGTGACTGAGGGGACATTTTATCCCTGAGCTCAAGTGGAAAATCGTTGCCATTGGCTGCAACAATTGAGCCACCAGAAGTGGAGTCTGTACAAACATCTAGGTGGTTTTAGTTCTTGCTAGGAGCGCCAGTCAGAAGATGCTGCCCCTAAAGCATCCTCTCTCACAGTAAAAATTCATTTTTCCTGAAACTGCCCTAAAAAGTGAAGTCTAATTAAAAATAAAAACAACAAACAAAAAGCAAAGTTTGATTTGTGAATTTTCTTCAGCCAGGTCCTGAACATACAATGGTCTTACAGCCACCTCCCTCTCTCCTGGAACCGTTTCCTCCAGCCTTAGAGCTCTGTTCTCCCCATCCATCTCTTGGCCTCTGTCCCTGCCCTCAGCTAGGAGCTGCTTACCCTTCTCTAGCCCAAAGGAACGAACTCGGAAGGGTTAGACCCAGAGGCGGGAGATGCGCAAGCGGTACACGCGGGTATGTGAGTGGGCGCACAAGGGGATGGACTGGGGCCATGGGCCAGGGCAGCAGGGTTACCAGCCCAGGCCGGAAGGGGTGAGGTGTGAGTGAGTCTGTGGACAAGGGAACCACAGTTCCACAGCCTCGCTGGGTGATTAGACCTAGTGATGAGAACCTGAAATCAGCCTCCAATAGCTGAGTTCGGGAGGATCAGAGCAGAGAGAATGGGGGTGTAGAGCCCAATTTGCTGCTTTAATCGGTTCCTGCCAATGGCATGCCCTGCTGTGAGAGAACAGAATAAAGCCCCTAGGACACCCGGCCCCCAGGGCAGGGAGAAGGCACCAGACATCCTCACTCAGACCCAAATCAGGTGCTGAAACCACTTCCTGGTATCCCGAGAGACCTTGTGGGCCGACCCAACAACTTTGCTCTTTCACCCCTGACCTATGGGCTGCGGTGGGAAGTGGCCAGCTGCAAGGTGGACCGGCTCAGGGTCCAGAGGGGGCTCCCCGCCCAGGTGAATAGAAGCTTGCACGCCAGTGTTACCTGTGGCTCTAACTGGGGGAGTCCCAGGCCTGCTCAGCGCCCGCCGGCTCGGGGGTGTCTGCCCACACTGTGGCTATGCACTGTGCGTGAACCCCGGGAATCACATGCTGAGACGTGAGCCCCAAGTGATGGTACTGGGAGTGGAACCTGGGGACGTGAGGTCAGGTTGCAGTCGGCTGTGTGCAGGAAGGCCCGAGTCTCCAACAGAAAGCATCGGACCGCTCACTTGTCATTACCAGGCTGCAGCCAGACCCTGGGGCCAAGCAGGGAAAAGCTGTGTGACTTGTACTATCTAAACTGTCATTAGAGGACAGGAGAACGGAACTTTCTTCCCTTCCCACAGCAAAGCATGCGCACACCGACACCCTCCCAGCTCTTCAACTGATATTTTACCGTTCTCTGAAGGAGCTTGACCAGTACCAGCAAAACCGTCCGATGGGCATGCTCACACCTTTAATGTCCTCACTGGGCATGCGTATGACTTCCCCCTACTGGGCACTTGAGTTCCTTCTGCCAGGCAATAAGTGCACAAGTGCAACACAGGCTCCCAAAGGGGGCCAGCAGGTGGTGTGGCGGCTAAGATGCTGGGCTCCCACATAGGTGAGCATGGTTCAAATCCTGGACCTGGTAACTTAAAAATCACACCAGGGGGACCGGCAGTTGCCATAATGGCTATGTCGCTGGGCTTCCATGTAGGCGACTGCGGTTTGAGTCCCAGATCTGGTGGCTTAAACCCAAGCCAGGCGTGTGTGCGTTCCTGCCCAAGATCCCCAGAGGAGAATGGAGGAGAGGTCATTGTAGAGTGGCCATCGTCCCTGGGAGGTGACTTCTCACTTTCTGTCTCTCTGTCTCTATCTTTAAGGTGAGCTCAAGCACCCTATACCAAAAAAGAAAAAAAGAAAAAAAAAAATCACAGCTGGCATGTGTGTGTGTGCGTGTGGTGCCCAAAATCGCAGGAAGAGAATGGAGGAAAAGAGGTTGCAGCATAGCCAGTCCCTCCCCTGGGGGATGATTTCTCACTTTCCCTTTCACTGTCTCTCTTTGCCTTTCTGTGGTGAGTGCACGTGCCCTATGGCAAAATAAATAAGTAAATAAAATTTAAAAAACCCTTAAGAAGAAAACAAAAAAAACACACCGACAACAACAGGGCTGACTACAGTGACAGACCTCCCCTTGGAAGTATTCATGAGAAGACCCGGAAATAAAAGCGACGCTTAACTCCAATCCTGGTGCAGCTACCACCTGGTAACCTGAGAGCTTGCTGCTCTTTTGAGTGTACTAATTAAATTCCCTTTTTTACACTTTTCTTGCTGATGCGACTTCATTTGTGTCTTGGAATGGGTCTCTAATTTAGGGATTACAGCCCAGGAACGGAGCATCTTATCAGGACAGGAGGTGGGGCTTTCATGATAGATTAGAGTCCTTATAAAAGGGGCCAGAAAGTGCCCTGTACATGCTCTCTCTGCCGAGTGAGAAATCAGCGACAATTAGCTGTCTGTGAACCAGGAAGAGCATCCTCACTTGCAACGACACTTTTTAATTTTTTTTAGAGAGAGACTTTTTGCTATATGGCATGTGTGCTTGCTGGAGACACAGAGAGAAAATGAGAAATCACTCTCCAAGGGGAAGGTCATTCCTCAATCCCCTCTCCTCCATTCTCCCCTTACGATTTTGGGCACACACACACACTCCAGTGTGAGTTATAAGCTGTCGGGTCTGGGACTCGAACCACCAGAGCCTTAAGCAATCGGATGGACCCTTAAACAAGACCTTTATTTCAGACTTCTAGCCTCCAGAACAGTGAGAAAGGATTGTTAACAAAGTCTACATTCTACATCTACAGCAGCCAAATCAAACCAAGACATCGTTTTGTCACGTAGTCCAGGCAAAGATGCACACATTCCTTTCTTAATAACACTAGTTGTGGCCTCTCTTCACTTAATGACCTACTGACTTAACAGCTGCTTGGATTTATGAGCAGTTCTCCAGAGTGGGGAATCCTTTCTGCCCCTGTGTGAATCTCAGAATGGTCTTTCTCAGTCTTTGTCTTGTCCCCAAAACCAGTTACTGTTCACTCCACAAAGCACTCGCACTCACACCAGACTACATATTTCATTATAATTCTGTACTTTATTTTGCACCCAAAGTAGTATTTAGAATAATATAAATGTTTATGATGGATTTATATTATCGGGGTGTGATGTGTCCTGTCGCTTTCTAAGGTGTCATGGGATAACTGCCAAAAATTATAGACCCTATGGTGCCACAACACACCACAAGACGTTTCTCTTTAGCGCCTCACTTATTAATCAATTCACTTCACCTGGTTGTAGGAATTGAACTCAGTCATTAGGAGAGGAGTGGCTGTATTAAGTTCCAAACCTGGCATGAGCGAACTGCTGATTGTGAGGCAACCAGGTTGCAGAACTCTCCAGGAACTGAGCATCTGGCTGGTTTATTGGAGACTGGGTCCCACTGCAACTGTGGCCATCCCTGGACTGCCAGGGCTTGGGGAGTGGTCATGAGTGAGGAGAGGTACAACCCAGCCGGGGGCTCAGCGCAGAGGCCGGAGGGGCTCTGCAGCTGGGCAGGCCAGGCGATACACCCTGGACAGCAGGCTCAAGCCCTGGAACCCACATTTTCTTTTAAATCAGAAGAAAACTGTGAACTTGCAAGACAAAAGAAAAGAACAATGTCTAATGTTTCGTCTTTATGGCAATGCATTTGTAGAGGGTCGTTTTCTGTCCTTCTAGGAGGGAGAGCCTGCAGAGGTGACAGTGTCCAGGCCCAGGAGATCTAGTGTGGTCCTGGCCTTTCACTCTCTTCAGGCACCAGGGGGCCCACACTGCCCCTCCCTGTCCCCACCACCCCCTGCCTGTGCCTGGGAAGCTAGGAAGGTCCTGGAGTGACTCTGTTGGGTCCACGTGCTCAGTTGCTTCACTACTGCTCACAGCCTTCAGGAGGGGCGGGCTTGTACTGGCTCTGCACTGGCCCGAGAGCTTACCCAGCTGTCTCAAAATCACCAGCTAGCAACCAGCAGGCTGGAACAACCAGCAGGGACTTGCCCAAACCCTGCTCCACGCCATGAGTGCCCCCGTCTAAACGAGTGGGAAGTCTTCCAATTCTGCCTCTTCTAAACCCCGTCCACCTGACATTTACCCACACCTAGCCCTGGGGTTTTGTGCTCAGTTACTAAGCATGTTTGCACAACTTCTAGGTGGGAACTGCAATCTTGCACATCATTCCAAGCACAAATGCCGAGTGGACCCCCCTGGGAGAGTAAACTGTGAGCAGCCCTGGGAGAGGTCTGCTGTGGAGGCACTGAGAGAGGTGGAGGGCCTAACGCCCAGGCCCACGCCATCTGCAACCCTGGGACAGTGATGGACATTCACCTTCTCAAAGCCTCTTCCTGTTTAAAATGATGGAGCAAGTGGACAGCCCCAGATCCCTTCTGCTCTGAATATCACATGCTCGTGCCATGCTGGGTAGAGAGGCAAGGGGCCACCTCACCCAAGGCCAGATGGGACTTGGCATGGTGGTGGCCAATGCTGAATTAGTTCTGCCCAATGGCAGCTTTGACCGCTCTCATAAACGTGGCCACAATGGCCAGGCCAGCCTGCTCGTGGAGTCACCATAGTGAACAGGCGTTTAGGCGTGGTCTATGGCACAAAGGTCTCACTGTGGAAGCACACAGTTGAGGGGAGGCTTCCTTTGAAAGCCAGCACACTGCTCCCCGTGAGGTGAGTTGGGGAAGGCCAGTGGCCCTGCTCCTTTCAGTCCTCGGCCCCTGCGTGCACCACACACTGCAGTCACACACTGCTTCATCAGTCAGCTCTGGGAAGAACAGTTCCTTCGTGTTGCTCGCCCTCAACAACAAAAATGACATAAAACACGGCTGCCATCCATGCGATTAGCCTTTGCTGAATACAAGACCGGGAGTTTTATCTGGAGCAATTGATTTAAACTAGCCAGCAGCAGCGCGTGTGACGATGGGACGCTCCTGGTGCCAGTCCCTCATGCCTTGGTGCCCAGCAATCTGAGCTGGAATCCTGGTTCCATCATTTACTGGCTGTGTGCCCTTAGGCGGACCACTAGCCTCTCTGAGCTTTGGTTGCCTCCGCTGTGAAATAGAAATGATAACGAGTTCTCTCTCACCTGATTGTTGGGAAGATTCGGTGAAAGAACATGTGAGCAGCCTGGAGCTCCACGGGCAGTGTGTGAGTACAGCCCCCGCCCTCCCCATCCTGGACATGCGCTCACCCCTGGCATGATGATTCTTTCGATGTCATTGACGATGTCCTCAAATGTCTCTGGCTCCTGAGGGGCCGTGTCCGGGAGCAGCGGCCGCAGGTAGCCAGGCTCCACATCGGGGTAGACCTGGCGTCCCTCGATGCCTTCCATGTAGTTGGCCACATAATCTACCATCTCCTTCCCTCTCCTTCGGAACTCACTTGCATTCATGCCGTCGGGGCTCCAGAGGTCAGAGGTGTCGGGGTCAGAGGTAGGCTAGAGAGAAAGAACAAAGATTCAGATGGCAAATTTTACCTCTGACCTGGAGGGGGTGACTCCAAGTAAGCTTTCAGCCCAGTGACCTGGGTGGGACCTCTGTGCCAGGGAGGCCTCTCCAATGCCAAGTCAGGACCATTGACCTCCCTTCTACATCTGGAAGACATGCAAATGACTCAGCATTGGGAGACTATAGCAAAACGCTAATTCTACTGCTCACCAGCCACTTAACTGAAGTCAACGCAAGCTCTTGTATTTTTGGTTTTTTGTTTTTCTCTTTTCTTTTTTTTTTTTTTTTTTTTTGTTTTTTTTTTTTTTTTTTTTTGTTTTTTTTTTTTTTTTTTTTTGTTTTTTTTTTTTTTTTTTTTTGTTTTTTTTTTTTTTTTTTTTTGTTTTTTTTTTTTTTTTTTTTTGTTTTTTTTTTTTTTTTTTTTTGTTTTTTTTTTTTTTTTTTTTTGGTTTTTTTTTTTGAGAGATTTTTGCTATAGGGCATGTGTGCTTGCCAGACAGACAGACAGAGACAGAGAGACAGAAAGTGAGAAATCACCCCCCAGGGGGGATGGCCATGTTGTAATCCCTTCTCTCGGGATTTGGGGCAGGCATGCACACACAGCCTAGGTTTTAAGCCACCAGGTCCAGGTCTCAAACCACAGTCTGCTATGTGGGAGTCCTGTGATGTAACCATTATACCACTTGCCGGTCCCCAGTGCAACCTCTTTTTATTTCATTTTCTGCATTGGTAAACAGCCTAGAATAAGGAGGTTTTGTTTTCGTGGTCCACCCCAACTTTAAGGACACACACTGGTCCAAGCTTTACCTCTGCCCCCAACAGGTGGCACTTCAAGGCATTCTCTTCATCTGAGGAATGGAGATGGCAAGACCGCTCCCCTGGGGAGGGGGAGGTGTGAACGGAAACTCAAGCAGTGCATGAAACCTGGGACTGCATAACCCCTCAAAGCCAGAGCCTGGTCTTCCTCTTGATTCCATCACAAAATAGAATGGCACCACATACAACCTGCTTTTCAAAACAAATTCTCTTGTTTCTCTCATTACGTAAGTAATATATGACCAGATGTTTAAGTTCATAGAAATGGAATTTAAGTACAAATATATTCTGGTGCAAAAAAAAAATTAAATTCATGTATAGCTTTTTCTCTTTTCCTTTTTTTTCTTTTTTTGTAGGTTTTTCTTAATACGCATTCTCTATGAACTTTTTGAAGACTCCTCACACAGGCACTTTCTGTTACTTATGGTTGTTATGTTCTACAAACATTTCTGGACCCAGTGGCTTGAAACTCACTCCAGGTACATGTGCGTGCATGTCCAAAATCCCAAGGGGAGAATAGAGGAGAAGGGACTGCCATGTGGCCAGCACCTACTGACAGGAAAGGGAGGATTTCTCGCTTTCTCTTTCTCTCTGGTGAGCACATGTGCCCTATGGCAAATAAACTTAAAAAAATATTGCCATGAACATGGAATTAGTGAATATGAGAGGTCTTCAACAGTTCTTAGAGAATGCATATTGTTGTTTTGTTGTTGTTGTTCTGTTTTTTTGAAGAGAGAGACAGAAAGACAGAAAGCGAGAAATCACCCCGGGTGGGGAATGGCCGTGCTGCAGTCCCTTCTCCTCTATTCTCCTCTTGGGATCTTGGGCACACACGCACATGTGCCTAGCGTGAGTTTAAGCCATAGGGTCCAGGACTCAAACCACGGTCGACTGCCTAGGAGTCCCGTGACATAGCCATTACTGGATCTGCTGGTCCAGAGAATGCAAATTATAAACAAACACATGGATTTCAAAATTTTTTTGTTCCAAAAATAAACTCATACTTTAATTCATTTTCCCAGAAATAGTTTGACATAACCTTGTACTGAACCATTCCCCCTAAGGGAACTACAGAGTTACTTTAGGCCCCTGAAAAGTGATCATGATGTTCTCGTCAGCCAATCAATACACAGCCTGTTTTGTGGGTTTCTTCCTGAAGATACCTTATGTAACAGATATTGATCCACTAACATTGAACCTACAGCCACAGCGCTGTCGCTCATGCCCGAGCCATGCTTCCCTCACACATGTGTTTTCTCTGTAAGGCACATCAGAGCCTTTTATGCTTGGGAATACTAGACAGCAAGTCTGCATAATATTTGGGGGCCCTTTCAAACAGCAAGATCACTAAAAGAAAGCATAAAAATGCGATGGATGTGGCATCAAGTGCTAAGACAAGGACACTTGTTCATGTTTCGAGAGCAGAAGCAAAAAGCTGGTCCGACCTCAGCTGGGAATGTGCACCTCTGGAGACTCGAATTTCTCACCATGCTGCACATTTGCACGTCACAGGTGACTGCCAAAGCACCATGAGCATTGATTTTGAAGTTACAAATACATTTTAGCAAGTAGGAGAGTTTGCACATATGGAATTTGTGGGCGATAAGGATCAATTGCATTCTCAAAATAGGAAAGTTGGACAACCCAAAGAATATTCACCTAGAATCCCAGCTCCCCAAATTCTGGCACTGTCCTTGTAAAACAGTGGTCCTTAAGCTTTTTGGCACCTGAGACTGGTTTTATGGAAGACAATTCTTCCACAACCAGTGGTGTGTGTGCATATATGTGTGGGAGGTGGCTTGGGGATGAATCAATGTATTACATTTCTTCTGCACTAATTTGAATTATTATTACATTGTAATATAAAAACTGATTCTAGTCTGTGGCCTAGAGGTTGGGGATCCCTGTTCTAGAATGTTTCCTGCATTTATGGGACATGATTGCCTACTAAGCAAGGAGTGCATTTCTTTATTTTTCTTTCTTTACTTTTTTGGAGAGGTTTTTGCTATAGGGCGTATGCACTTGTCAGACAGAGACAGAAAGCGAGAAATCACCCCCCAGGGGGGATGGCCATGCAGCAACCCTTCTCCTCTGTTCTCCTCTCGGGATCTTGGGCACACATGCACACGCGCCTGGTGTGAGTTTTAAGCCACAGGGTGGGGAATGCGAACTGCAGTCAACTACATGGGAGTCCAGTGACATAGCCATTACGCCAACTGCTGGTCCCAGCAAGGAGTGCATTTCTGACTTCCTCTCATAATCTAAAGCTTCATGTTCAAGATGAATTTTCATTTTCTTTTCTTTCTTATTCTTCTTATTTTAATAAAAAGAGAGAGGTTTTGGCCTTAGGGTACCTGTACTTGCCAGAGAAAAAGAGCCAGACACAGTGAGAGGGAAAGTGAGAAATCACACACACGCCCCTCCGGGGTGGGGGGGACGGCCACACCACAGTCCCTTCTCCTCCTTTCTCCTCTCGGAATCTTGGGTATGCACACGCACACCAGACATGATTTTCTTTCTTTTTAAATTAATTTATTTGTTTTACATTAATTCATTGAACATCATCACGGCATACAAAATGCAGTTTCCCATCTAGAATATGCTGTATAGTGGCTTAGTCATACATGTTATCATCAACAAATAATTTTCCATTTCTTGTTGTATCAAGTCACAGGTGTGGGACTTAAACTGCAGTCGGCCATGTGAGAGTCCAGCAACGTAACTGCTACGCCATCTGCTGGGCCCCAAGATGAATGTTTTCTTGGGGAGGAGTGCTGAATAGTGATCTGTTCCCTGTGATCAGCTTTGAGAGGACCTTGATATTGTATTCCTTGCACTTCTCCATTGTTTTCGTTGTCTGTGTTGGTAGTTTGGGCAGTATCTGTGAGGCTGAAGAGGTTGAAGAAAAATGATTCACCAGACACTCATTAAAAATGGCAAGGGGGGGGGCAGCCAGTGGCATGGTGATTGAGGCAACTGGATCTCACATTGTTGACTACATGTTTGAGTCCCAGACCTGGGGTTTGAAAAACACACTGGGAACATGTGTGTGTACCCACAATCCTGAGGAGAATAGAGAAGAAGAGATTGTGGATTGCAGCGGGGGTAGGGGTGGGGTGTGCTTTCTCACTTTCCTTTCCTCCATCTCTCTCTCTTTCCCATGAGTGCACATATAGAAAAAAAAAAAGGGCAAGACAGATTTTAGTAAAGACTACTGCAGTAGGGAGAGGTGGGGATTTCTAGCCAACCAGCAGGTCAGCAGGTCAGTGGGTAGAAAATGACTAAGAACTTGGTGAGAGATGGAGGGTGGAAAGGGAAAGAAGCTTGATTATATACCAAGGGTTGAAGCAGACAGGCTTGAAGGAACATCAGGGGTGGGGTTTCCTCAATATAATAGGCTAGAGGATTCTTTACTAAAACTGGTCTCAGCCGGCCAAGGAGGAGGCTGGTCATGAAGAGAGGGCAAAGCAGCATGATGAAGTTGGTCAAGGAGAGAGTCCATCAAAGGTGGGCCTCTTTTGGCCCAGCCATGGTGGCACAGGAGGTAAGGCATCACTGTGTGGTGCTGGAGGCCAGGATTGACCTGAACACACCTAGGCTCAACTGCAGTCCCAGCTAGCTGGAAGGCTGTGGGGAAGTCTGTGGTGGGATGAGATCCTACTGAGGATCCCTCCACATCCTTCTCTTTTTCTTAATAAATGAAGTTTAAAAATAAAAATCTTGCACCTGTTAGAACATGCCTCTTTTCCCCTCGGCATGCTCTCTCCTGTCTTTTCTTCAGAATGTTCTCTGCTAAAGGAACAATGTATGGCTGTTTTGAAGTTCCTGGGTTGTCAGAAAACTCATGACGCCTTTTTACATAGAAAAACAAAAAAATACATCACAACTCTTTCGACGACCCAATATTTTAAGGCCTGTTAGGAGGTCTGACCCCCATTTAAGGTTATGGCTTTGGGGCCCATTTTTCAGGTAGTGAGTGCTTGAGCGATAGTGATTGAGATGTTAAGATAAGACTCTGGAGTTCACCTTGCAGCCTCATGGTTAAGGGAACTGGATCCCACAGGGTCGACTGTGGTTCGAATCGCAGCCCTGGTGACTTGAAGAACATACAAGGTACATATACGTGAGTGCCTGAAATCCTTCCAGAATGAACAAATGAAAGGACTGCAGTATC